AATTTCCTTCCTTTTATTGACTGAATAATATTCCCCTGTATAGATATACCACAATTTGTTTATCCATTCATCTGTCAATGAAGAGTTGGGTTGCTTTCTTGGAGCATATTTAAGATAGTTGTTTTAAAGTCTTTGTGTAGCAGATTAGCCATCAGATGTTTTTCAGGAACAGTTGATTTATTTATTTTTTCCTTTGAATGGCCCATCCTTTCCTGGTTTTTGTTTGCCTTATGAGTTTTTGGAGAAAACTGGACATTTGAATCTCATGTGTTATTCTGGAAATACAGTCTTCTTCTTCCCCAGGATTTGCTGTTTTTTTGTTATTGTTTGTGTTTTTTTATTGTCTTTAGTTCTTTAAAAAAATTTCAATCACTTTTGGGGTATGAGTGATTATTGGTTACATGAGTGAATGGTATAGTGGTGAAATCTGAGATTTTAGTGCACCTGTCACCCAAGTAGTGTACATTGTGCCCCATGTGTACTCATTTTATCTCTCACTCTCACTCCTACCCTCCCCCTTCTGAGTCTCCATAGTCCATTATATCACTCTGTATGCCTTTGTGTACTCATAGCTTAGCTCCCACTTACAAGTGAGAGTGTACGGTATTTGGTTTTTCTTTCCTGAGTTACTTCACTTAGAATCATGGCCTCCAACTCCATCCAAGTTGCTGCAAAATACATGATTTTGTTCTTTTTTTATGGCTGAATAGTATTCCATGGTGCATATATACCACATGTTCTTTACTCATTGATTGACAGGCACACGGTTAGTTATAAATCTTTGCAACTGTGAATTGTGCTATAATAAACATACATGTACAGATGTCTTTTTGATATGATGACTTTTTTTCCTTTGGGTAGATACCCAGTAGTAGAATTGCTGGATCAAATGGTAGATCTACTTTTAGTTCTTTAAGAAATCTCTGGCTGGGCGCGGTGGCTCACGCCTGTAGTCCCAGCACTTTGGGAGGCCGAGGCAGGTGAATCATGAGGTCAGGAGTTCAAGACCAGCCTGGCCAAGATGGTGAAACCCCGTCTCTACTAAAAATACAAAAAAAATTAGCCGGGTGCAGTGGCAGATGCCTGTAATCACAGCTACTTGGGAGGCTAAGGCAAGAGAATCAGTTGAACCCGGAGGAAGGATGTTGCAGTGAGCCAAGATTGCGCCACTGCACTCCAGCCTCAACAACAGAGTGAGACTCTGTCTCAACAAAAAACAATCTCCATACTGTTTTTCATAGAGGTTGTACTAATTTACATTTCCACTAGCAGTGTATCAGTGTTCCCTTTTCACCAAGTCCATGCCAATATCTATTAGCTTTTGACTTTTTAATAATGGCCATTCTTGCCAGGAGTAAGATGGTGTGTCATTTTGGGTTTAATTTGCATTTCCCTGAATGACTAGTGATGTTGAGCACTTTTTCATTTGTGTGTTGGCCAGTTGTATATCTTCTTTTGAGAAATATTTGTTCATGTCATTTTCCCACTTTTTCATGGGATTATTTTTTTTTTCTTGCTGATTTGTTTGAGTTCCCTGTGGATTCTGGACATTGGTCCTTTGTTGGATGCACAGTTTGCAAATATTTTCTCCCATTCTGTGGGTTGTCTGTTTACTCTGATGATTATGCTGATTATTATTTTTTTGCTGTACAGAAGCCTTTTAAGTTTAATTAGGTCCCATTTATTTATCTTTGTTTTAGTTTCATTTGCTTTTGGGGTCTTAGTCATGAATTCTTTGCCTAGGCCAGTGTCCAGAAGAGTTTTTCTAGGTTATCTTCTAGGATTTTTATGGTTTTAGGTCTTAGATTTAAATCTTTGGTCCATCTTGAGTTGATGTTTGTATGAGGTGAGAGATAGGGATCCAGTTTCATTTTTCTACTTGTGGCTAGCCAGTTTTCTCAGCAGCATTTATTAAATAGGGTGTCCTTTCTCCAATTTATGTTTTTCTTGCTTTGTTGAAGATAGTTGGTTGTGGATATTTGGTTTTATTTCCGGATTCTTTAATCTGTTCCATTGGTCCATGTGCCTGCTTTTATACCAGTACCATGCTGTTTTGTTAACTATAGCCTGGTATAATTTGAAGTCCGATAATGTGATGCCTTCAGATTTGTTCTTTTTGCTTAGGATTGCTTTGGCTATTCAGCCTCTTTTTTGGTTTCATATGAGTTTTATGAGTTTCTTTCTCTAAATCTGTGAAAAATAATGTTGCTGTTGTGATTGGATTTGTATTGAATCTGTAGATTGCTTTAGACAGTATGGTCATTTTCATGATAGGAGCATGGGATGTGTTTCCATTTGTTTGTGTTATCTATGATTTCTTTCATCAGTGTTTGTAGTTCTTCTTGTAGAGATCTTTCAGCTCCTTGGTTAAGTACATTCCTAGGTATTTTATATAGTTTTTGCAGCTGTTATAAAATGGATTGAGTTCGTAATTTGATTCTCAGCTTGGTCATTGTTGTTGTCTAGCAGTGCTACTGATTTGTGTTCACTGACTCTGTAACCTAAGATTTTACTAAATTCACTTATCAAATCTAGTAGTCTTTGGAGGAATCTTCAGCGTTTTTTAGGTATATGATCATATCATCAGCAAACAGCGATAGTTTGACTTCCTCTTTTCCAATTTGGATGCCCTTTATTTCTTTCTCATGCCTGGTTGCTCTGCCCAGGACTTAAAGTACTATGTTGAAAAGAAGTGATTAAAGTGAGCATCATTGTCTTATTCTAGTTCTCGGGGGGGAATGCTTGCAACTTTTTCCCATTCAGTATGATGTTGGCTATGGCTTTGTCATATATGACTTTTATTATTTTGAGATAATTCCCTTCTGTGCCTTGTTCGTTGGGTGTTTTTATCATAAAGGGATGCTTGATTTTATTGAATATTTTTTCTGCATCTATTGAAACAATCATGTGGTTTTTGTTTTTAATTGTTTATGTGATATATCACATTGATTGACTTGCATATGTTAAACCATCCCTGCATTCTGGGGATTAAACCCACTTGATGATGGTGTGTTATCTCTTTGATGTGCCATTTGATTTGGTTAGCTAGTATTTTGTTTAGGATTTTTACATCTGTGTTCATCAGGTATATTGGTCTGTAGTTTTCTTTTCTTTTTGTTATATCCTTTCCTGGTTTTGGTATCAGGGTGATACTGACTTCATAGAATGAAGAACAGGTTGCTTCCTTGATATGGTGCTGTCCCCCTTCCCCTAGGAGTAGAAGTCCCTGAGAGCCAGACTACTGTGAGTACTGCTGCTCCTCTGGGTCTAGCTGCCCAGTGGGGCTGCCATATTCCAGGCTGATTCTGGGGAATGTCTGCAAGGGATCCAGTGATGTTATCTGTCCTCAGGTCTCCCAGCAATGTGTGCCAGCACCAGCTCTCATAGGGGTAATGGGAATGACATACATTGTGAGATTCCTTGGTTATAAATAGCCATAGTATGTTGGCTTTCTTAAATGCTGGTTGTAGTATTAATAAACTGGTCATGTGGACAGACTCCGGACATCCTGGTTAGCCAGGGTACTGCAGACAGTGCTGATAGCTGAGGTCATTCATAAGTTTTCTCCTTCCTGGGTGCAATGTTATTTTACCTGTAGATGCTGTAATAAACTGTGTCTATTGGCCTTCAGCCAGGAGGTGGTGCTTGCAAAAGAGTGCCAGCTGTGGTTGAAGTGGTGGGATTTGTGCTTGTGCTGTGTTACCCATGGGAGGTATTTTGGTTTATCAGATGATGGGTGAGGCCATAGGGCTCCCAAAAGTTTCTGTCTTTTGCGTTAACCTTCCAGGGCAGGTGGAGGGGCAAAGCCAGGTGGGGGCTTGGTCAGGCAGGCCTGCTCTTTGGCTCTGCATGTGTGGTGTAAGCACAGACCCATGTTGGGCTTTTGGAGCCATACCCTGGCCACTGGGGTAATGTTCCAGGAAAGAGCTTAGCTACCTCTACTTCACAGAAGAGTTTATGCAGGAAGTGGGGAGTAGCAGGTGGGTGTAAGTATCATTCAGCTCCTACACACTTGGCAAGGCAGGTCTCTCACTCACAGTGTTCACTAGCAGCAGCTAACTAAATTCCAAGCTGTTTCCATACAGGAACCTCAGCTTTCAGGCCATGCCCCTTTTCATCCACTGGCAATGCCAGAGCACCCAGCTCCTGTGCCTGTAGTTACAGCACACTTCCCATTCGTCCACCCAGTTCAGGCCAAGGCAGTTCATCCCCACTGGAGATTATATTTTGAATTTCAAATTGGGAGCTTCTTTCAACCTGCAACCAGTGCCTGAGTTAGTTGTCAGAACTTTGAACTCCTCTGTGACAGAATCAGGAATAGCTTCCCTTGGTTTGCGTTGGAGACTGGGAATACGCAAAAGGCTCTTCCTGCTCCTGGTCCTACTTGTATATTCTCCACCGCTCCCTATATCAGTGTGAGCAGTGGGTGGGGTTAAGGCCTTCTCCTGTGGGCTGGATTTCCAGTTTTCATAGTGGGGGTGTATACTCTGGAGGTAATTTCTCTCCCTCTCATACTCTGGGGACTTACAGTTTTTTACCTGGCTCATGGTGTAGACTGCAGCCCGCCCCTTCTTTCAAAGGATCTGTGGTTTCTTTCCATTTTTCCGTTAAGTTCCTGTATTGCTTCTTTGAAAAAAGTTCACAGTTCGAGTCTCTACCCACTATTTTTTCTTTCCAAGTGGGAGAGGCATGCCAACACTACCTCCCATCTGCCATCTTCGGGAGGGCGGGATTTTTTTTTTTAATTAAAATTTAAATTTTTGTAGGCTGACTCTGTGGCAAGGATCAGCCTAAGGTGTATTTAAGGTCTTCTCAGGTCTTTTCTGAGCCTGGGCTTGTGTGGTCACTTTACACATTTTTCCATATATATAGTTTTTGAATGTCCTAGTCTTTATTTTATTTTATTTTTTATTTTGAGACAGAGTCTTGCTCTGTTGCCCGGGCTGGAGTGCAGTGGCTCAGTCTTGGCTCACTGCAACCTCCGCCTCCTGGGCTCAAGCTCCTGCCTCAGCCTCCCGAGTAACTGGGATTACAGGCGCCCACCACCACGCCCGGCTAATTTTTGTATTTTTAGTAGAGACGGGGTTTCACTATGTTGGCCAGGCTGGCCTTGAACTCCTGACCTCAAGTGATCTGTCCACCTTGGCCTCCCAAGGTGCAGGGATTACAGATGTGAGCCACCGCGCCCAGCCAAATGTCCTAGTCTTTAATGTGTGGCTCTCAAAAGGGAAAAAAAGAGTAAAATGGGGTTTGCTGGCCTTTTAAGTCCCCTAGAAGTGACTTCAGCCAGAGGGGGAGAGGCTTAACAATAACATCTACTCATTTCTTTGTGTGCTCCTCTGTGATCAGAAGCAATAATCAGTGATCAGAGCACAGATCCCTGATACTTGGAAAATAGTCCTTTTTGCTTACCATGGCCCTCACAAGTTGCATGCACACTGTTCCAGGAACACATGCACAGCTGTCTACCCTCGAGTTGGGGGATGGGTAGCTGATTCTGTGCTGAGAGCTAGAATGACCGAAATTAACCACAATTTATTGTCCAAGCCTTCCCTTGGAGGTTGCAAGCCTTTGGTATCTTCCAGAGTTCCAAAATAATTACATTAGGTAGAGTCTGCCAGTGCAATTGTCTAGATAGGGATACAGATTCCTGGTATATCCTACTCCATCATCTTCTGAGAATCCTCCAGCCTGGATTCATTCTTGGCTTCTTTCTTTCTCTCATACTAATCAATCCACATCAATTTTGCTTGTAAATGTCATCCTTTTATCTGCAAAATATATCTAAAGATTGACTACTTTTTTTTTTTTTTGAGACAGGGTCTCACTCTGTTGCCCAACCTGGAGTGCAGCGGTGAGATCTTGGATCACTGTAGCTTCAACCTGCCCAACATCCTGAGTAGCTGGGACAAAGGGGTGTGCCATCATGCTTGGCTATGATCACTTTTCACTACCTCCAGAACTACCACTCTGGTCCCAGCCAGTATCACTTCTCATCTCAATTATAGGTTGGTGCAAAAGTAGTTTGCATTACATTAAAAGTAATGGCAAAACTGCAATTACTTTTGCACAACATATATTATTGTAGCCTGCTAACTGACACCTGTTTCTGCTCTTGTCCCCTTGTCTGTTCTCAACCCAGCATCTGAATGATCCTTATAATAATCAGATCATCTTTTTGTGTAAAACCTTCCTTCTCTCTGAAGTCAGAGTCCTCACAGGGCACCTACTTGGCTCCCTTCCCTTCCCTTTCTGTCCTCTTCAACTATTCTTTCTTCCTTTTGCTCACTTCACTTCAGCTGTATTGGGTCCCCTTGCTCATCCTTTAACTAGTCAGGCATACATCCTCTTGAGGGTGTTGAATTTCTTTTGACTAGAAGGCTCTTCCCCCAGGCATTGCCACAACTCACTTCTACTTTTGGGTTTTTGCTCATATGTCACTTTTTTAGTGAGTCCTTATCTGACCACTCAATCTGAATTGGCAGCTCTCCCTGCCATATAATCCCTGTCTCTGGTTAATTTAACTCCTTAGCCTTCAGCATCATCTACACGTATGGTATACTATTTTATTTTTTTCTCTCTCCTCTGTAATATAAGATCCATAAAAACAGGGACTTTGCCTTTATTCACTACTGGACCCAGGCACCTAAAATTGTGCTATCGTATAATAGTGCTCATTTAGTATTTGTTGTGTGATTGAATTCATGAGTGGAGTGCTTGGGTTATCCTGGTATCAATGCTTAGTATTTATGTATACCTTAATCTAATTTCAGTGAAGTAGAGGCAATAAAACATCTAGTAGGCAAATCTGGAAGAGAGATTTGAGTGAAGCTGTAGGAGTTTTCATACCTTAGAAAGAGTGTAAACAATCTGAAGAGAAAAGGACTAGGGATGGGATCTTGGAAACACCCACCTGTAAGGGTTGACCAGAGAGCAGCACTGTCCTAAGACTTTGCCAACTGGGAACAAAAGACCTATGCTTTAAAGGTCCTCATATGGTCTTCCTCCAGAAGCTACACCCCTGCCCATGGAGTGAAGACTTTGTGGGGGCCAAGGTGACTAGTCTACTTGGTCTCTTTCTAGATCAATCTTTGAATATTTGATCCTAGAATTTCCTGCCCATGTGTCCCTTCACAACTCTCTTCTCTGATTCTCTCCTCTCTTGACTGTATAACACATATGGGATCCCCTGTGTTTAAGGGATGGCCAAGGAGCAGCTGTTTGCAGTCATGTGACCAGAGCTGTAGGCTTTATATATGTGTGCATATGAAGTCCTTCGTAGTATAAAGTGGAGCTAAAGGAGGAAAGAGAAAAGGAGTTGGCTGCAGACAAGGGGAAGGGGTATGGACTTTCCTTCCTGTGTCCCTACATAACATTAAGGGAGCCTGAGAACTCAAAAATAGAACTTGGCCTTTCAGGTTGTTATTAGTCAAGATAGGAGGAGGGAATAATAATTTAACAGCTTGATTTAGAACTTTAAAAAATATTTAGACACATGGTATGTAGGCTTCCATTTGTACTCTTGTCCCAGGCTCCTTGAAAATGAGGGTTGAGCCTGCAAGGGGGAATTGAAAGGGAGTAGCCAGAGAGGGAAAAGATAAATTCAAGGTAGAGTTTCAAGAAGGGAGTGATTAACAGTGTCAGATGCTTCAGAGGCATCAAGTCCTATGAAGAGAGAAATGTATCTATTGGATTCTACAAGCGGAATTTAGTAAAATTTCAGTTGAGTGGGGATGGATGCCAAACTCTGATAGAAGGAGGAGTACTTGAGAAATTAGAAAGTGGAGACAGAGTATAAAAGATTTCTTATCTAGAAACTTACCTGAGAAAGGAAGGAACTGGAGCAGTAGCTGGAAGGGTATGCAGGATTATGGAAGAGGACTTTTCCTTTGTTTTTGTTTTTGAGACAGGATCTTGCTCTGTCACCCAGGCTTGAGTGCAGTGGCAGGATCACGGCTCACTGTAACCTCAACCTCCTGGGCTCAAGTGATCCTCCCACCTCAGCCTCCCAAGTAGCTGGGACTACAGGTTTGCACCACCAGGCCCGGCTAAGTTTTTTATTTTTTGTAGAGACAGGGGTTTCCCTATGTTGGCCAGGCTGGTGTGGAGCTCCTGGGCTCAAGTGATCCTCCCGCTTCCCTCTCCCAAAGTGTTGGAATTACAGGCCTGAGCAACCTTGCCCAGTCAACTTTTCTACTTTTAAGATGAGAGGATCTTGCAAATGCTTATATTTTGAGGGAAAGGAGCCCAATGGTAGTAAGAGAAGGTTAAGGAAAAAGGAATAATTGATGGAGCAAGGCCTACGATCAAGTGCTTAAGTCAATTGCTTAAGTCAAGTGCTTAAGTCTTTAAGCCTTTGAAAGAAGGAGGACTATTTGAGGAGGCTTGGGAGTTAGAAGCAGGGCTTGGGATGTTTGGATGGGTGCTGATGCTAAGTCGGTGGGGTGAGATAGCAGGAACATGTCTAATAGTGACTCAGGAGGCTGAGGTGGGAGAATCACCTGAGGCCAGGAGTTCAAGATCAGACTGGGTAACATAGCAATATCTTATCTTTAAAAATAAAAGTTAAAAATAAGAAATACTGACCTGAGCATGGTGGCATATGCCTGTAGTCCCAGCTCCTCAGGAGGCTGAGGCAGAAGGATAGCTTGAGCCCAGGAATTTGAGGCTGCAGTGAGCTGTGATCTCACCTCTGTGATCCAGCCTTGGTGACAAGAGTGAGACCCCAACTCTAAAAATTTTTTTTCCTTAAACATTGTTTTATAGTAGTTTTTTGGGCTAGTCTTATTTTTCAAACTTGATTTTATACTCCTGGGGAGCAGAGGTTATACCTGTAGCCACTTAGTAAGAACCTGTTATTAGAACTTGCCCAATGGAGGAAAAAAAACCCAAGAACCTGTTTGAAATACAGCCCATAATACGGAGCATAGGCTTCATACGTTGGTTCTGTCCTCACTCAATAGTTGTTATGTAGTGGTGAGTTAAAATTTAAAGTTTGAGAAAAGCTCTGATTTCTCAAAAACCTAGAAATAATTTATTATATTCCTTATATGAATGTGTGACATATGGCTTTGGAAGTGATTTGTTTTATTAAGTATTTACTATCTCAGACACATCTATTTGAGCTTAGTGCTTTTTTAATATAATTATATTAATATTGTCTTTTTTCCCCTCCCGCTGGTAGTTCCAAAGAACTACTGGTTCAGATTTTAGCTCTTCCGAAGTTGTGAAAACAGTGAAGGATGCTTAGACTACTTAACATACAAACTGTAAGTAACATTTATTTCTGCTATTATTATATATATTGGGAATAGTTATTTATATTACCTTATATGGTGATAGCATGATGGGACTGTGGAATTTTATTAATTTTTCTTCTTAAGATACAAAGACTTTCTCTTCCATTTTATGTTTATAAGATCAAAAAGGAGGCTAATAGTACTGATCAGTAGGATGAAATTTCTGCTTTTTTTCAGGTATTTCATTTTTCTAGAAGTTTCTGGAAATTCTTTATTGTTTTATTTCCATATCTGTATGATGCCAGCAGGCAAACATAATACAAGGGCATAATATTAATGGAATGATTTATGGGAACTATATACTTTCTCTTCAGATATGCTCCATTTTTCTGCATTCTTTTTGACATGAAAAAATTCTGTTAGTAATAAATCTCCATACTTCCTCTGTATGAAAATTTTCGCATAAATGAAATCAAATAAAAAGTAACTTTTTAGGAATAATTTAATGCATAAATCCAGATGATGTAGGAAGGGGAAAAAATGTAAGAGGTTAAGAAATTACTTGAAACCATTTGCTGTATTGCATCTTGAACTAATATCAAAACAATTGAGGAAAAGTATGATAGAACTAATATCAAAACAATTGAGGAAAGTATGATAAAATAATATCAAAGGCATTCCAAGTGGTAACTACTTTAATTTTAAACTACTTTATTTGAAAATATAAGCAATTCAAATTAATCTGTCTTACATACAGTTCCTGGATTCATAGTGTATTCAAAGTGTGAATACAAAATGAGATTGCTGCCATAAGCAAAAGACAGTTCTGATTGTTCAAACAAACAAACCAGATGAGGCAAAGAAGAAGAATGAAATATTTAAGAATCAATAATCTTTTAATTTGTTAAATAGGAAATCGGATTCAACGTTTTCTCAGTCTGGCACATTTTATATATTAAATGAATAAGAGATCTTTAACATTTCTAGAAACTAACATATTTCAGGAATAAAACAACATCTTTATAAAGGGAGAAAGTTACAACTTTTTTTTTTTTTTGAGATGGAATCTCGCTCTGTCGCCAGGCTGGCGTGCAGTGATGCGATGTTGGCTCACTGCAACCTCTGCCTTCTGGGTTCAAGCGATTCTCCTGCGTCAGTCTCCTGAGTAGCTGGGACTACAGGCACACTCCACCACGCCCAGCTAATTTTTGTATTTTTAGTAGAGATGGGGTTTCACCATGTTGGCCAGGATGGTCTCGATCTCCTGACCTCATGATCCGCCTGCCTCGGCCTCCCAAAGTGCTGGAATTACAGGTGTGAGCCACTGTGGCTGGCACAATTATAACATTTTATTTCCTAGAATATGAATATCATAATACTACCTATGTACAATTGCTTGTTAAGAACTTATTCAGTATGTTCATGAACTTGATTACTAACTCTTAAGAGGTAGAATGTTCATTACTGCCCTCTTTTGACACAGGGATATAGAAGCCTATCTTCTTTTTCTTAGTTCAGGGTTAAAATTAGATTGCAAAATAAGTTACACTTTATGTCCTTCCTGTAATTTTTAAGATAACTTTTCAAATTCTTCCTCTTTTTAGGGTCTCTGGTTAATCATCTTTAGAAGACTGGATTTCTGGATATCTACTGCACTCCATCTCTATTGACTTTTAAAACATGATAATGCAAACCTATAACACTGGCAACCATCAATGAACCTTTAATTTCACTGATTAATAGCGTTTGAAGCTTCCTCAGGGAATAACAATGACATCAGCAGTGGTTGACAGTGGAGGTACTATTTTGGAGCTTTCCAGCAATGGAGTAGAAAATCAAGAGGTTAGGCATTCAATGAATTACATTTCTATTTTCTTCATAGAAATTTGTGCATGAACTAATTTTGAAATTAATAGGAAACATATTTGAGAGTAGAAATGTACAAAGCATGAAATTATACATGTACATGTCGTGTACCCTTATAATTTAGGTAATAGAAGGTCAAGGAAGGTACTGCAGGGCTCACGTGAATTGTTGGAACATACATATATTAGAATGAACTTGGAGGGAGGAAACAAATGGAAAGAACACTATAATATTAGTTGAAACTTAAATTTAAATCCCTGATAAAACGCATTGTCTTGGATTATGATGTAGGTATATACCTAAATTAGATTCATTCTAAGTTAGAATTTTGTATGTGCTTTACTTTACTTATTATCTTTGTTTCTTGATTATTTTATATCTTAATCAGTGTGGAGATCCATTGTATTTTAATCTCATATCAACACTTATGAATTTAGATAGTCAGAAAATGAATTCAGGTTTTGAAATTTTATCCATGTAGAATTTTGAATCATTAGCATATTTGGTTATTTTGTTATTGATAACATTGAAGAATTAGATGAGAATAAAAAATAACAGTACTAGAAATATAGGGGCTTCCAGGTCCTGGCTTCAATTCTCAGCATTCAGTAAAGAGTAAATATTGGGGCCGGAGGCGGTGGCTCACGCCTGTAATCCCAGCACTTTGGGAGGCCGAGGCGGGTGGATCACCAGGTCAGGCATTTGAGACCATCCTGGCTAACACTGCGAAATCCTGTCTCTACTAAAAATATAAAAACTTCGCCGGGCGTGGTGGCGGGCGCCTGTAGTCCCAGCTACTCCGGAGGCTGAGGTAGGAGAATGGAGTGAACCCGGGGGGCGGAGCTTGCAGTGAGCCGAGATCGCGCCACTGCATTCCAGCCTGGGCGACAGAGCGAGACTCCGTCTCAAAAAAAAAAAAAAAAAAAGAGTGAATATTGGAAGGAGTCTAAATTATAATTCAATAGTGCTGTCATAATAACCGATAATATTTGTTCAGAGCTGAGGTGGGGAAATGGAGAGTTTTCTATATTTTTTTAAAAAAAATCTGTTTTCTGTATTTTCTGTGAAAGATGCTGCGTTACTCGTGCTTGCTAACAGTATAACGGTATAATGGCATGCTTGAGAAACAGGTTAGGACATCAGTCTCTGTGTTTTGTAGTCTGGATTCTTTTTTTTTTTTTTTTTTGCCTCCTTGGTGTCTGCTCATTTTTCTAAGATCCAGATCAGCTGTGGGCAAATTCACTGGGAATAGGATAGTGAAGGTCTTCCTTTTCTTTTCTCAGTGGACTCAAAAACTCTTGTGTGTCTTTTGTATTCAAATCCAAAACTGGTGCAAAGTCCATTAAGAGAAGCCACAGCTACAGAACATACTTTCTTCCCATAGTCAATGTCTTATTTCTTCCCTCGAGATTCACTTTCTGTATGATCACCTCCAGGAATGACTCACCGAAGACATTACGGATTGGGAAACTGCCATCCCCTCCTAGATTACCCAGACCAAACGTTGCTTTTTCCTCGAATGCTTTCTCCTGCCATATAGTTTTGCTCTGTTTTAACCCTGTGAGGGGAGCCACCAAAAACAACAGGCAGAATATCTTTACCTTGTGTTGATTAAAAGGTATAATTAATATGGGGGAAATGAGGACAAACAATTTGTTTCTGGAATACTTCTTATATTTTTCTTCTTTACATGGAACTTCAGTGTTCACAGCCAGGAGAACTTACTATTGTGGAAGAAAGAATCTCATAAATGAAATGACTTTACCAAGTTATTATTGACTAGTGATTTATGTGGTAGTCTTATAGGGTGATCACATTTTATAAAGTAAGTCAGAAGAAGACTATATCCTTAATGAGCATGTCAGGTAGTATGGCCAATATACAATTGGAAACTGAAGCAGTACTATTTAATGGAGCATCAAAAAGCAGCTGGGTTCCCTGGCATGTGCATATAGTCCCAGCTACTCTAAAGGCTGAGGTGGGAGGCTTACTTGAGCCCAGGAGTTCAGGTGCAGCTCAGGCAAGATAGTAAACCCCGTCTTAAAAAAAAAAAATAGGGAAAAGTTTAATGAAATATATAAAAGACCTCTGTACAGTGAACTATAAATACTGTTGAGACATATTAAAGACCTGAATAGACAGATGTACCAAGTTTATGGATTGGAAGACATACTGTGGTTAAGAACAAAGTTGAAGGGCTTACACATCTGATTTAAAGACTTTCTATAAAGCGGCACTAATTGAGGCAGTGTGGTATTGGTGTGCCAACAGACGTGTAGATCAGTGGAACATTAAATACATATAAAAATGCTCAATGTTATTAACCATCAGGGAAATGTAAATTAAAACCCAAGACGATCCTACTAAACACACAGCACGAGGAAAATTGATGAGAGTAATACCACATGTTGGAAAGGATAAGGAGCAGCTAGACCTCTCATACATTGCTTATAAGAATGTAGGCTGGGCACGGTGGCTCACGCCTGTAATCCCAGCACTTTGGGAAGCCGAGGTGATCACGAGGGATCACGAGGTCAGGAGATTGAGACCATCCTGGCTAACGCAGAGAAACCCTGCCTCCACTACAAATAAAAAAATTAGCGGGGCGTGGTGGTGGGCACCTGTAGTCCCAGCAACTCGGGAGGCTGAGGCAGGAGAATGGCGTGAACAGGGAAGACGCAGCTTGCAGTGAGCCGAGATTGCGCCACTGTACTCCAGCCTGGGCGACAGAGCAAGACTTCATCCCCCCCCCCCAAAAGTAAAGTAATATAACCGCTTTGGAAAATTATTTGAGTACTTTAAAAATTAAATGTACAATTGCCATATGATCTGGTAATTTGACTCTTAGGTAAATATCGAATGGAATGGAAAGGAAGGGAAGCCAAGACCAGGGATGTTCATAGGAGCATTATAGCCATATGAAGACAGGCAAATGGATAAGCAATTGATATATCTACAATAGAATTTTCAGCAATAAAGGGAAATGAACTATTGATACATGCAGCAATGTGTATAAATATCAGCAGTAAAGAAGTTGGACACAAAAGAGAACTGTTGATTTCAATATAAAATTTGAGAAAAGGCCGATCTATAGGGATAGAAATCTATAGGGATAGATCAGTGGTTGCCTAGGTCTGTGTGTATGTGTGTGTGTGCATGCACATGTGGTGGTGGGGATTGACAGGTAAAGTAGCTATGAGGGAACTTTCTGGGGTGATGGAAATGTTCTATTTCTTGACTGTGATGGTAGTTAAAGAGATGTTTACATTTGTGAAAATTCATTAGAAAAATAAAAAGATTTTCATCTGGTGAGGCAGATTTTCATCTGGTGAGGCAGTTTTATATTTTGCGAATGGATTCCTTTTTAAAGTTGTCAAATTACCCGTTATTGGCTTTATGTTTTTTTGTTTTGTTTTGGTTTGGTTTTTGTACCAATTTTTATTTTTAAATGAAAAAAGTATTTTGATGTTTATCAGGATCATTGTATAAAACAATAAACTCAGACATACTGAGAAAATGAAAGTCCATCTTTTGTCTGCTCACCTCTCTTACCAGGTTAATAATTTGAGGTGTATTTTTTCCAGACTTTTAAATGTATATGTAAAATAAATATGTAAGTGGAATCAGACAACAGTACTATTCTATGGCTGATTTTCCTCCTCCTTCCACCCCCACTTGTTTGTATCATGAATATTTTTCCAAGCTAGTATATAGCTCTAACTGCCTTAATTGTTTAATGGATGCTGAATAGTTTCTCATTGTATGGATGTTTGTTAGTATGGGTGTATGTTTTCTATCTCTCTCTTTTTTTTTTTTGGCATTATGAACATCTAGCTTAGGGGACTTGTCTTAAAACTGGGTTTGCGTAGCAAGTGCATCATTATTTATTCTAGTGATGTATTTATTTGGAGTGGTTTCTGGGGTTAAACCATGGAGAGGTAGGGGAGATGAGTCCTCCCTAAAGCCTGCCAAATGGTATTTTTCAGTTTTGATAAGATTTTTGAAGGTGATCTTACTCTACCTCAAAAGAGAAAATGTGGAACAAATTTATGTACTTTTAACGTACTCCTGAATTTTATTATCTTTCTATATATTCCTAAAGTACATTGAGAAAAGGATTACAATACCACTGCTTTCAGTCATTTCATTGTACTTGTCTTTGGAAACTTCTGATACCTGGAGAGCAATGACTGAGTGCATATAAAAGCACTTTCTAGGTAAACATTGCAGCATTGCACTTGTCTTGCCTCTTTAAACTAAGAATCTCTCTCCTTAAATGGAAGTTTCTGAGATCACTGTTAGTACTTAGAGTAGGGTTGCCAGATAAAATACAGGATGTCCAGTTAAATTTGAATTTCAGATAAACAACAAATGACTTTTTACTTTAAGTATGTCCCAAATATTGCATGGGACATTCTTACAGTTATTATTCAGTGTTTCTCTGAAATTCAAATTTAACTGTGTTTCCTGTATTTTTTTTTATTTGCACCCTGGCTTGTAGGGAATTAGCTTGTGCCAAGATCCATGGTGACTTGAGCAACGTAATGCTAAGTAAAATAACCTTTTACATGTGTTATTTTTACTATTTTATTTTTAAGCAAAGACTCCTGGTTTCTTCTCTCCTATCCCCTTTTCTCCCATAAAAATAGCTACTCTTCTACACAGTACAAGGCAATAATTATCTGAATAGCTGCATGCAGTGTCCTCTGGTCTCTATCATTTGGCAGAAAAAAGGCTCATGAGGTTACTTGCCTCCATAGATGAGCAAATGTTGAACTTATATATACCTGTTAATATTAAGATTTGTTGACTTTATTATTCTTTGAGTCAAGCTACAAATATCTCTATTTAAATGCCACTTTAGTTTATATGAAGCATGTGTTATTGAGGATATAAAAATTGACTGCGATATAACTCTTGCTCTCAAATATCCTAATAGCCAGTCAAGGAGTTGTATCTGTAAATAATTATAATAT